CATTCCAAAAATTTCATTACAACGCAGCTATGGATAAGTTGCGCCACCAATAATGACAATCAATTTCGTATTTTTGGTCAGAATGTTCCAATGTAGATCTTCAATTGACATTGACAAAATGAATTTTCATTTGTGTGATATTGTAATTGAATTTCATTGGTTAGTTTCATTTGGAAATCACATCTAGAAATTTGTTGGAATGTTTTGATGGAAATCATTAGACGCAACACTGAATAAAGTGTGACGCGACACATTGATATAAATATTCTACCATTTACAAATTTAGATGTTGTAATTAAAAAAAAAATCTATTTAAAAGATATTACAAGATGCGTGCGTACATAACATTCAGAAATTTATCCAAAATTCAAAATTAAATTATAAAATATATAAAATACATTACAATGTTAGAAAAGACTTTCTTCAAATTTCTTTTCTTCCTGACTTGTTTATTCCCTACCGTAGCAGCAATGATACCACTTCCTAGTATGTTTGATTTTGAAACAAGGATATATCTTCCATACATAATCGTCTCTGTGATCCTTTTACCCGTCTTGTACCCAGCACCTCAACTCAAAATTATCAGGTTGTCCGTTTATTTAGCTCTAGCAGCATTCATATTATTAATTTTTCCATCTATATTCTTTTACGTGACAGAAGATTTCAGCGTGAGGACAAAAGCTATAATAATCGGAGCATGTGGAATAACAGTATTGATTATAATAATGTTGCTGCTTCGATACTTTACCGAGTCAAATTCTTTTTCTCCTACAACCATTGTTGGTAAAATCGTAATGATTTTAATAATCTTGTCCGCGTTTGGCATGATTATTTACTTCATAGTGACTTTTATACGGACTAATTTCGAACTTAAGACTCATATTCCATATTTAGTCATTAACTCGGTTGCAAGTTGTTGTATTAAATGTTTTGGAAATAATGTAATTGGAGCTATTATCTTTACTGTTATGTGTGGAATAGATTTCTACTTTTTTTATTATGTAATTATGTTACATGCTTGTAAGTTATAGATATAACAGATAAATATGTGTAATTTTTAATTTTAACTTTAATTTTTAA